CCCAAGGGGCAAAAACAAAAGCTAAACAAAAAGGGCCAATGCCCAAGACTAAAGCCCGTAGGCCCAAGAACAAAAAAAGGGCCAAAACTAAAGCTTTAAAGCTATGCAAAATACGTACAAGATTTTCTGGCCCAAGGAGTTAAGTCCAAGTTCCGTACAAAAACAAAAAGGCCTGAAGAAAGGGAGCAGAGGCCTCCTCCAAAGTAACCCAGGCGGTCCAATTCCAATTAGTGGACAGTTTTGGAGCCAGGGAATCAAAGGTGAATAAATAAGCTAAAGTTTAAAACCAATGCAGGGGCTTACGCAAGTAGTTCCTATGAACACATGTCCCCATTAACTGATTCTTGATAGTCTTTGGAAGCCACTAAGATTTCTGCTTTCTACAAGTCCAAGAAATAATCACTTGCCCAGATTCCTCAATGCCATTAGGGCCCAAGCAAACTCTGTAAATAATATATATATATATATAATACACCAGGCATCGATATCTGGAGAAGTTTTCCCATGCATGACATCTCTGCCATAAGCAAATACTTCACTTGTTTTTCCATCCAGAATGGTTTCAAGGATATCACCCAAAGTGAATAACTTAAGCCTCCTAACAGTTGCATCCAGATCATAAAGAGAAACAACAACCAGCACCATGCAAACCCTTCATCTTCGAAATAACGCTCCCTCACAGCAGGCATGGGTTAGATCCCATTCAGCCATGACTCTACGAACTCTATCATTATCTTTGAACTTAAGGGAACGGAGTCGCAATCTAACTTCCCCATATAAACCAGCAAGATTTCCAGAACTTCTCATGGTATTTTTAAACAATCTAAAATTGCACTTCTAACAAATGAAATAGATAGAAGCTCCCAACAACAATATGCAAACCACTGCTCTTATCCCTTTCACTTTTGTTACACCTAAAAACAAGGGTTGACATAAGCTGATATCAACGAACACTAATCAAAGTTTAGAAAAGTTTTGTGCCATCTATAATCTGCCACATTGCCTAAGACGAAAAAAATATAGATGTCAACAACCCAACCTACTCAAGTTTGTCTATGAATGAATTTAGTTTGCACACTTGTCAATGCCTTGTTTAATTTAAGGATATTTCTTAAGTTTTCAACCAATGAGAAATGAGATATTTGCGCAGCACCAACTCACTTGTAAAAATATAATCATTAACTTGAGCACAGTGGGTATAAATAGATAACTCCCCTTTACAAAATTGAGATCAAACCCCTTGTAATAAAAAAAGCAAATAGCAAAGACACACAACTAGAAAAAGACTGCTTGACATTCTCTAAGAATACTTAAAACACCAAGCACTTGTAATCTTAAATCACAGTTCGTGACCTATTATAATCTTAGCTAACGACCATGAACACACTTATATAAAAGATAACAGTAGATGTATGATTCACTTTAAGCATCTGAACTATTATAAAAACTCTATTGTCTCCTTTACTTTTATGTCTTTGCATACTACTACGAAAACAATATCTCATAATTAACTTTCATAATCATTTCACATGTAGTTTTTAAGATCTATTTAACACTTTATACGTGCGAAGTTGTTGGTGTCAAAATCAAGTATCAACATCCTTAAACTTCTCAGTGCACCAGTTTCACAATATCAAGCCAAAATGTCGAGGAGGCTTGAAATGCCCATAAGACTAAACTGGTTGCCAAATTCTATGGGAATACTTGCAATGAAAAAAGAGGCGTTGGTGTGAGTCTATCTCTTCTTTACACAATATGCAAATTAGCTTTATCAATCCATAGATTTGTATGTGTAAAATGTTATGTTTAATGAATCTCTCATGGTCTCATTTTGTTTTAACACTTATTTTCAAAGATATAAAAATCTTTTGAAAAGGTAAGAAAATGTGACTTTTATCCGACTTGGAAAATTACCAACTTACATTACGTATTTACGTTAATTACGTCATTTAATTATTAATAAATATATGTATTTTTTTTTTAAAGTATTAAATTGGTAGCTGGTGGAGTCATCGATTGCTCACCATCAAAGGAGCACTTATCTTTCTAAAATACTAATGTTTTGTAGAAATTAATTTTTTTTAGCATTAATGACATTAATTCCCTTGAGTTTTGATTAAATTAAACAATCCCTCACGAGGATTTTGAAATAACAAAAATCTTATAAATATTAAATTTTAGATGTTAAAATAAACGACAAAAAGATAATTTTGCAAATATTTATGAACTAATAATAGTATAAGGTCAAAGAACTCACTCACAGTTCACAAGTTGGAGGGGAATTTTTTCTAGGTCAAGACACATATTTCTCCACAAATTTGATATGATTTTAAACATTTTAAAATAATACATCTCAATGGTACCATTGAGATAACATCAAATTCTTTTGAAATAGATAAAGGGCAAGTATTTTATTCTCGATGATATGTTGTCATAGTAGTTAGTAAATATGATCAACATAGTAAAATTTCATAAGAAGTTAATATACTCTAGAATCTACAAGTGACAATTTTCCAAATCCATGAAAAAAACGTTGAATCCATGATGAAATTATTCAAAAATATAAACTTTTTATTAAAAATCCATAAAAAATTTCCAATAGTAGACCATTTTTAGTACTACTAAAATAAGATATTGAATGAAATAAGAACAAACTTATTAAATAGAACTTCCTAAATTACTAAATTCCTTATAAAATATATAAAACAAATGTAACATCCTATTGAGAAAATCAAATAAATATATATTTTACAAAATCTATGTTACATCAATGACGCTCAATTAAGAGGATATCAATCTTTTAGACATGCTTTTTGAGTAAATACAATAGCTGTGAGTTTAGGATTTAGGGGTAATTTTTGACTAAATATTGTACAATAGCTAGCAGTTAAATAAATAACAAAAGATTAGGGTTGTTTTTGAAATATTTCCGTTCTTTCCTAATTCCTACTCTATGATATTGTTCAAGAAAGGAAGTTGAATCTCTCCACCTCCGGCATCATAGGGCTAAGATTCTCTGTCTTTAGCAATATTTAAATATATAATTCTTCAGAATTGATTATTAATTCAAAGAAGAAGGTATCTGATGGAGATGGAAAATTTAATAATGTAAGCACATGGTAGACCATTGATTAGTACTGGTTTTCTTATTGTCTTTGTCCTTGGAGTCAAAGGGGTTAGTACTTAGTATCCCTCACCTTCCCTGACCTTTGTATTGTTATTACTGACATCCCTTATATATATCTATATTACAACAGCCCCTTGATTTTTTGAAATTGTTCTCAACCCCCTTATTAAAAAATCCAATTTACTCTCAACCCCAAAACCAATTAAATACCTTATTTACCTGTAATTCCTCTAAAATGAAAAAAAAAATTAATAAATACAATTATACTCTAGGGTTTTTTTATAAATATCTATATGCTAAGGGGGTTTAGATACTTTTCTCTTACAAGATTTCATTAACAAACAGTGGTTACGAAACATTTGAGAGAATTATTGAAATCTGAGGGAGGTGAGGGATGTTATTTTAAACTTGTGGCATGTCACTGAGAAAAAAACAAACCTCAAAGGATGTGAGGGATACTAATCCGAGTCAAGAAGTCTAAACCTAAAAATTACACCACTCACACTCTTAAATGCTCATGTCATCAAACTTCATTTAGATGACTTAATAAATCCTAAAGTAAATCAATTAATCTTTCCAAGTCTGCCACGTGCATAGTAATCTTCATTTAGTTGAGTCCATGAAAACAAAGTTAATAAACAGAATAATTAATATGAAATAGGAGACTGTGAGTCAACTTTGGCACGTGCATAGCTGATCCAAGTCTGGTAGTAATCCATATCTTATAACATATATCATAAGAGGCACTGATAATTTTCTTATTTATAACAGTACTTGTTTTGCTAAACTTCTGGTAGACTGTGCAATTATAATATGAATTTACACGACGGCCAGTTGGCTACTGTCATGCATCAAAAGAATCTTCACATTACCCAATAACCGAATATTTGGTAATGTAATCTCTTCAAGGGCATGAATGTTTTCTTTTAGTTTTCTGAATGGTACACTAATACGCCAGTTAAATCCCACCAGCATGGTCGCAGCTACCCTTTGGCTATGGCTAACCACAAGGCAAACATTTTTTTTTTTTTTTTTTATGGCGGGGAATATTCAAGTTTGTTTATGTTAATTAATATTTTGAGATCTTGAAACTATCAGTCGGATAAAAATTCTAGTGACTACTATTATTAGTAACCAATGAAAAACTCGAATTACTCTATAATCCAGAGATAGTTAAGAAGAATGCAGAAGACAACTTATTATAAGTTCTATAATTATAATAAATTATAAAAGATTTTTTCATATTTAAACAATAATAATATTTTGTAATTAAATTTTAACAATTCATGATATATATGTTATTACACCTGGAAATCTTCAATATGTTTTAGTTTAAGAGTTAATTGTAAATTTCAATTATTCTTTCTATATTTTTCCCCTTCTCTCTCAATTTAAAGTAAAAATAAAATTTTAATTACAATTGTTATTTTCTCTTTTCTTTTTACCATATCAAATAAAACACGAATATTTCTTTATTTTATTTTATTTTTGTGATAGTTTAGTTTAAACAATAAATATATTTTTAAAATACTCTGCATACTGAAAAAACAAATTTTTTTATCTGTAATGAAACATCTTTAACTCAAAAGTTGCAATATTAAAAATAAAACTCATAACTACTGAATCAAACTTATTGTAATACATTAATATAAAATTTATAGACTTATTATAAATATTATATTTGATATAATTATTAATCAAAAATTGAAAATATATATTTTTTTTTTATACTGAAGCATAAAATGCGCTAATAATATTGCTGAGCAATGCAATCAATAAAAATTCAAACCTACTTCAAAACATCAGTTCTTTCAGCTTAATTATTCAGTACCCCATATCTGCGCTATTCACTTTCCGTCTTTCAGAAAAAAACATGGCAGAATCATTTCCCTCGGTCATTGCAACTAACATTTTGACGGAGATAGCCTTCCTTACTTCCCCACAAACACGCTTATCTCGGGATCTTCCAGACGAAATATCTGAGCTCAAAACAGCCTTGTTGGGAATCAAAAAGAAGCTGTTGAATGCCGAGGAACAGCAGTCGCAGTACCCCAAGCTGCAGAAAAGTCTTGCAGACCTTTCAGATCTGTTGTATGATGCTGAGGATGAGTTGGGTGAATTCAGGTTTAAAGTGGCGAAATCAAGGCCTGGCAAGAGCAAGGGAATCAACTTCTCCTGGAGCTCCAACTCTCCTGATCATAAAATAAAGGAGATTACAAAAAAATTACGTAAATTGGCAGATAATATTAAAATGTCTGACGTTAGCATTGTTTCTTCGAGCAAGATGGTGATAAACGACACCTTTCTTCGTACTTCCGAAGTTATTGGAAGAGACGATGATAAGGAAAAAATTATCAATATTTTGAAGAAACAAGATGAAAATGTCTCTGTACTTGCTATAGTTGGGGATAGAGATATAGGAAAGACCACTCTAGCCAAACTGGTGTATGGTGACAGAAGGATAGATGAACTCTTTCGTCTAAAAATGTGGGTACGTGTACCGGCAGACTTTGATGTGCCTGCATTGATCAAGGAAACTTGTACTGCTGCAACTGGTCAAAATCAAGCTGGATTAATACCCGAGCAAATACGAAAAAACCTTCTACAAGCATTGGCTGGTAAGAAGTTTCTACTGGTCTTAGATAATGTGTTGGATATAATATTTAATGATAGATGGAAAGATTTCAAAATTTTATTGGCGGAGAAATCGGCCAAGGGGAGTAAAATTGTGATTACTACCCGTATGACTAATGACCAGGTTTCAGAAAAGCTGGGTCCTCTTGTCAGTTGTGATTTAGGAGGCCTTTCTGAAGAGGTTTCTTTGTCTTTTCTGAAATTGGCAACATTTATAGATAAAGCTGACAAAAAAAATCTAGATCTCAATGATATCCGGAAGGAAATTGTGACAAGATCGGGTGGTGTTCCTTTGGTAGTGAAAATTTTGGGAATCCTTCTTTATGGAAACACAAAGAAGGATGATTGGTTGCGAATTATGAATGACATATGGGGGCAAAACCAAGAGAAAAATAGCATCGTATCAGCTCTGAAATTGAGTTATGCTCGTTTACCATCTCATTTGCGAAGATGTTTGGCATATTGTTCCTTATTCCCCAAGGGGTATTCTTTTAATAGTGATTATCTAGTCTGTCAATGGATGATGCATGTTTTTCTTGAACCTCATAATGAAATTGAATACGAAAAAGAAAAGTTGATTGATGTCGGTTTACAATATTTGGAGAAATTAATTTCACTCTGTTTTTTTCAAGATGTTGAATATCATGAGTGTTTTTTTCAAGATATTTAAGATAAAAGACATTGTCCATGATGCTATCTTGAAAGTGGCACAAAACGAGCTCCAGATCGTAGATCTCAATCCGAATTCTGTCAAAGGAGATCCTCAACATTTGTCATTTCTTGGGTTTGGCAAAAATAATAAAGAAGTTTCATTTACTTCAAAGAAATTGCGGACCGTCATCATGCAAAGTACACTATCTGAGGGTCTTATTGTTACATGGATATCGAAATTTAAGTACCTCAGGTTGTTATGCTTAAGTGATCTCCAATTTGAAAAGTTGCCAGATTCTGTAGGTAAATTGAAACATCTCAGATGTCTTGACATATCCCAGAATTCAAGTTTGGTGGAACTCTCTGAAGCTGTTTGTAAACTTCTAAGTTTACAAACTCTAATACTTGTTAGCTGTTCAAAGCTTCAGAAGTTACCTAGTAATATGCAAAGTCTGACCAGCCTCCGAACATTGATTTTGCGAGGTTGCGATAGCTTGAGCTCGTTGTCATGCAATATAACAGATATGAAGCTGGAGAAGCTGGTGATACACAGCTGTCCCATGTTGAAGAGACCGGAGAAGCTGGTGATACGCAGTTATCCCGTGCTTAATGTGAAGATGGACCAGACAAAGCGAAATCTCCTACTTCATCATCAGGGAACAATGAATTGTCAGGTATGTGTAAAAGTCTATCTCTCTCTCTCTTTTTCCCTTGTTATAAGCCTGGTAAAATTTTTAAATGCGCTAGCTTATAATGTTATTTGGAATACCCTTCAATATTGGTGAGAAGAAATTAATTTATTTCTATTTCTTCATGCTTCCTTATATTCAAAGTTTGAATTAAAAATTTCTTAGTTATTTTGTTTAACCAAATAGATCTTAAGTTTTGATAATCCAAGGATGAAAACAAGATGTATATTATTATTGCAAACCAGGACAAAACTATTTCCATAGTTGTCGGATTCATGCTTTATTTGCTGTAGTTTCGGTGGACATTGTTTGGGCAGGCTTTATCAAAATTTTTAACTATACTACATGATGAATTAAGTGAAACATAATCATTTATGATATATAATTCATAAATTCTTTCCATAAATTTTTTTAATTAGTCCTCTTTAATATAGTTTAATAGTTTCTTACGAAAAGAAGTATTATTGTAAGTGTTGTACCAACAAGTTTCTCGATATGACTCCTTTGATCCATATGCAACCCAGTAATGTCTGGAATTACTCACTGCAGAAGCTGTTTTTATTATTTATTTTTTTCTTTGATATCAACTATGACCTTTAAGAGTGTAAAACTCTTTCTCTGATTTTTTTATTAATTGTGTAACTCGTGTTATTCACCGTTGCAGCTGTTTTCCGAGAGATCAAAGTCTTCAGCAAATGCAAGAAGTTTCGATTCCGATTCCTGCTAGGTGTGATGCTCTCTTTCATGGTTGTCTTATTGAATAATTGTTATTTTGGATGTTTTTTTTCATGAAACTTCACTGGAGAAAATACACTTTCCCCATTTTAATAAGAGTAATGCTACAGTTACCGACGGGTGTACACCGAATTTGTGTACCGAATGACGTGGCATAATCCTGATCGTTGATTTATTATCAGTTAATATTAATTAACGGTCAAGATTTTATCACGTCATTTGGTGCACAAATTCGGTGTAAACTTTTCGGTAACTCTATCATTTTCCTTTTAATAATGTTTGTACTGAATAATGCTTGACGTTTCCCAATGTACTGTTTGTTTGGTTATATCTATCTTCGTTAATTGATTCCGTATAATCTCGATAATTGGTTCATATTGTAACTTAAGCTACTGTTAGGCATTTTTTGAGATTTTTCTATTAGATGTTGGATGCTTTCATTTTATATGTCTTTTCCTATATAACCTTATTTGCACTGTTGCAAACATATAATTATTTTGTCCCTCCCTCTTGTGTTTGCTCGTGTAATGGGTATTATATCATGTTTTCTTATGTATATATATAATACTAAATTTCAAAATTTTGGATTATAATGTTTTAGAATGAAAAAATAAAAATTAATAGTAGCATCTTAAGCATTTAAAATTTGAATATAAACTAACAAATGCAACGCTTTATGTAGAATATAATTCTTATTTTCACTTTAACTAAAAATCTTAATGCTAATCAACTAAATCATATACTGACAAGGGTGCAAATGAGACAAGGCACTGGCAAGTTGCTCGATGAGCCGAGCTCGAGTTCGAGTCTTATAATACTCAAGACATACTCGGATTTGATGTATTATATAATATATTAAAATAATTATTAATTTAATTAATTTTGACTTGATTATAATCGAGTCAAGCTCGAGCTCAATTATGACTTTGTTGTAATTGAGTCGAACTCAAGCCGATCATATATCTATCGAGCTCAAGCCCGAACTCAACAATCTCAGTGGAGCTCGAACTTCAACTACTCCAATCGAACCGAGCTCAAGCTTCTCAATACTCAACTTGGCTCCATTCAATTGCAGCTCCTGACATTTATTTATTTTAGATAACACTCCACTAAGTTAACATGCATGTTAATATCTACTAGCTAGCAACATTTGGTTATCTGACACAGAGAAATAACATCAATAACAATGTTGTACTTTTTTCTAATAATGTAGAGATTTGTATTTGGTTGTCTGACACATAGAGATAATTATTTGTGCATTTCTAAAATAGAGTTTTTGTTAATATATTGTGTACAAAACATACGAATCCACAACTGAACTATATGTTTTGACTTATCTTATGATACACTAAATGAAGCAGATGAGTTGATTTGGATTGTTGAAATTGATTTGTATAGACATCCATTGTTTCTGAAACCTTTTTAATTCAAACTGAAAATTGTACTATGCTGCAGTATTAGTGAGTTATGATCATTTATGATATTATATAAGTTTTCAGGTCCGGTAACATATACAATATGAGACTCAGACACGTTCTTTTGCTCCACGCAACCCACCAAATGACTGGAATTATAATATTATTTACTTCTAAAGCTCTTCTTTTTCTTTTTCGTTAAACCCCAAGCCTTAAGAAGTGTAAACCTTTCTCACTCGCTTTTTATTCTTTGAAGCGTGTTTAGAGATTCTTTCAAAGTCTTCAGCAATTGCAAGAAGTTTCAATTCCGATTCCTGATTATCGTGATGCTCATTTTATTCGTGTTGCTTTCTGAATTGTTACATTGGATGTGTTTGTTACCTTCTGAAATCTGTCGTTGTGCCTGTAAGTTTCCCTTGTTGGGTTATAGTTATTTGTTCTCTTGAATTACAGGGGGTTTAGTTTGAGGGAGCATGTTGTGCTGTAAATATTTGGTCAAACTCTACCAAACTCCATTGTTAAAGCACTTAGTAGTGCCAATTGGAAGGCAGCTATGCAAAATGAATTGGATGTTCTCGTCAAGAACCAAACATAGACCTTGGTTGCACCTTCTCCTGACATGAATATAGTTGGAAACAAGAGGGTTTTTCATACAAAATTTAATGTCAATGGATCATTACAGAATTATAAGGCCAGGCTTGTGCCAAGGGTCTCGATTACTTTGAGACATTCAGTCCCGTCATCAAACCTTCAAACTATAAGGATAATTCTCACTCCAGTAGTGACAAATAATTGAGATATTCAGCAAATAGACATTAATAATGCTTTTCTTAATGGTGTGCTTACTGAAATAGTGTACATGAAGCAACCACCTGGCTTTGAAGACCCTTCACAACCTATTGCTGTATGCAAATTAATTAAAGTACTATATGGCCTTAAACAAGCTCCGAGAGCTTGGTTTGACAAGCTCAAAGTTGCACTTCAGCTCAAAGGATTCACAAATTCAGTTTCAGATTCAAGTCTGTTCACTCTCTAGCAACAATCTGGTCTGATTTATGTTCTAGTATATGTTGACAACATTTTAATCATTAGATCAAATGTTGATTGTATTACTCAGCTAATGACAGACTTGACTGACCATTTTTCATTGAAAACTCTTGGTTCACTCAAATATTTCTTGGGGTTAAAAGCTACAAGGACTGACGTTGGAATTCACCTCAACAAGCTAAATATGCATCTAATCTTTTAGCCAAAACAAGAATCATGGAAGCAAATGCTTCTGCCACTCCTATGGCTGTCAGCACCAAGCTATATTCTAATAACAATGAGCTATTTCCAAATCCAAGTCTTTACAAGAGCACTATAAGTGCATTGCAATATCTAACTCTCACCAGGCCTGACATTAGTTTCACTGTCAATTAGCTAAGTCAGTTCCTCCAAGCACCAACTGAGCTACAACAAGAAGTTTGTGAAAGGTGCTCAGATATGTTAAGGGTACAATTCACTATGGTTCACAGTTCAAACCAACATGCTCTTTAAATGTAGAATGATATGACGATGCTGATTGGGGAAGTAGTCTAGAAGGTAGAAGATCCACTAATGGCTGTTGTGTCTTAAAAATTTAATATAGTGGAGCTCTCAAAAGCAGAACGTTGTTTCTCTTTCCTCCACAGAGGCAGAATATAGAGCATTGGTTAATACTACCACTGAAGTTGCATTGTTGCAGAGCATGTTCTTTGAACTTGCCTGACTTTCCACACCATCCCTATTAGATATTGTGATAATGTTAGTGCAGTAATATTAGCAGCCAATCCTAAACACGATTAGGACTTTACTAGCTATTTCTGCATGTGTTTCATGTCTGGACAAAACAGATAGAAATTGATGCTCATTATATTAGAGATCAAGTTCTAGCTAAAAGGTGGTGATTCCGTATGTTCCATCCAAGCTTCAAATAGCTGATCTTCTCACCAAAGCTCTTTCATCTGCCCAATTTAATGAATTGAGACAGAAATTAAATGCCATTAGTCTTGACAGATGTGATATTGCTGCCTCCTGAATGATATTTTTTTTTTTTTTTTTTGGTGCTCAATTGCTGCTGGTGTTGCTGTCCTTGTGTTGAGTGAAGGGATTGCTGTTCTTTACTGATTTCTTTGTTGAAGTATTCTATGCTGAACTGCACTACATCAATACTGCCATTGCTCTGGTTTATTTTCCTGAACTAAGTATGTGCAGGCTCTTACTCTTGTTTCTTCTGGTGAGCTGAGTATGTGCAGGTTCTTAGCCAATTATCTTGACCTAAGGTATTACTGTCCTTTAATACCTCTTGTTGTATGTTCTATACTGAGCTGCACTGCATCAGAACTGCCACTGCTCTCGTTTCCTCTGCTGAGCTGAGTGCTCATGGAATTTTGTTTAAAGGAGCATATCGTACACAAAAGAGCTCTATTGAATTACAAGGGGTTCAATTTAAGGGAGAATGTTGTGTTATAGTTATTTGTTCTCCTGAATTACAAGGGGTTCAGTTTGAGGGAGCATGTTGTGTTGTAAATACTTGGTCAAACTCTTCAGCTCAATTTGAGGAAGAGTGTTGACCATAAAGCATTGAAGTCAAACAAGAGAAGACGCTGCCGTTTTACCCTTTTTAAAGGACAGCACAAAACGCCACCGTTTTAAATTAAGCCTTAGTTTGTCTTGTAAAACAGTAAGCAAGAGCTTCCGAGTATCGTTTTTAGTATAAATTCCCAGCTTGTACTCACTATTGCATTCAGTTAGTTAATGAGAAGAAATTCAGTTTTACTCTCTCAACTGTTCTAGATTTTTCTCTCAATTTCGTTTCAGTAGCCTATTTTCACATCCCTATGTTATGACTGGCCTCATTTTAATAATGTTTGTTTTTAATAACGCTACTGTCTGGTTGGTTATCTCTATCTATATTCATGACTCTTGAATAATCTCAAAATAGAATACACCTATGTCTATGTATCTTTTCTATTTGTCAATCCATGTTCTATATATTTGGAGTGCATTTTTTGCGAGATTCAACATTAACAGAGTGTGAACGGTCCCTTTCTATGATCCCATATTTTATCGATTGTTATTGGTGAGAGGGCTCATTCTTGTATCTTGAGCAAACAATTGTCCAGTTAGAATAGTCAAGATCACCATCCCCATCCCGATTAACCAACCGGGGAGAGGTTGAATCTCCAAATGGGATCGAACCATATCTGATTCCAATATGTTAAAAGGAGATCTTTAACATATATCCTAAGGACACAAGTTAAAGATTATTCCATTTTAGTTGATTCATTCAAAAATAAAAAAAATACTATTGAAAGCCACAAATCAATTTTCTCAATATTTTATATAGGTGTGATCAAGCTGCACCTTGTTTTGTCCTCAGCAAAATGCATCCGCAGATCTCCCATATAGGCAAGGCTACATATTTTGGCAAACAGATCTTCCTGCACAATCAAAGACCTAATCATGACTCTAGCAACTCTAAAATGAATAAGCAGTAACATAGCAGCAAACCTGTGTGTACTTGGAGGGCAAGAGAGGAAGAGCAGCAGACAAT